CACCTATCTGGACACATCAAGATGTTCACTTACAGGGCTAATAACCTAAGTACAAGCTAACAAGCTGATACAAAATTAACACTCGCGTATTTCACTCTTTATTTATTTTAACCGTATATTTAACATTCCTTTCAACTGCATTCCAGCATCACTAATTGCTCGATTTTCACTCTTTAGTTTCACTTTTCTTTAAAATTCCCTCTTTATTTTATGTTCTTATTTCTCTCTCTATACTGAAGCTCACATGACTGTCCGCCACCAATTGTATATTTTCTTCTGGCTTCATTTCGTGTTCTCTTGCATTATTCTTTCATTATTTTTTCATTGATTCGTTGTACTCTGCGTCATTACATTCTTATTGTGTGGTTTCTCGATACTTTTCTCATTTCTCCTCTTGAGTTAACGCCTTGTCTCGATTCATAGATTTTTGTTACTTGTTTACTCTTTTCTTTCTTAGAGATAACATATGTTGGCTCTTGTATTTTCTTTACTAATCCTCCAATGTTTTCAACTGTTTTTGCTTGTTAGATCTTCAGAGACTTATTATTGCGCTTGCGAAAGCAACCATCATTTATCCTACTCACCCATTTGTCTTGTGGGTTGCTTACACCCTACGTAAACTCGACTGTAGGAAGCAAACGTTTGTTGCTTTAATGGTGTATGCATTCTGAAACACAGCTTTGAGATATACTGGAATGAATATAGAGTAATACAAATGTAAAATGTTCATCCTCTCCGAACTCATGATGATTTATTTTTTACGAAACATGCGAACTTTAGTTATTGTAAATTAATGAAGTCATTAATGAATATTGAATAGACTCGACTTTTTAAAGTTGAGTTGAACAAACTCTCATAACAGTAATACGTATCAAATAACTTTGTTTGTGAATGCGGTAACGTCGCTTTAAGACTTTAAGAGCGTGATTTTCAATCTACTTTGACTGGAGCTTAGTTTTAATTTACTTTCATCTTTACCGATTAATTTTTAACCAGGTTTATAAATAAATTAAACATTATTTTATTACATCTGAATTAGTAACGATGGAGAAACACTGATGAATTTTTTACTTTGATGAAAGATAATCTTTACCTTCAATTCCCTTTTGAAACAAAAAAAAATATTTTCAATATATCTGGTTTTCAAAGTTCCTTTCCACTACTATTAACAGTGTATTTGCTTTTTTTAAACAAAACGTTATTTTGGTCTCCCATATTTCACTTGTATGTTTCCACGCATAATTGTACCCTCTGGAAACATCCGAGGTACGCCTCTTTACATTATATTACTATAGATTTTTATTCTAGATAATGTGGCACGTGACCGTTTAACATTTCTTGTGCGTATAGCATTTTGCATATCGTTTTACATTTAAAATGACACGCTGAAAGATGAGGCGACGATTGAAATTACATTTTCCACGCATTTTCTTTATTAGTACTTTATTGCGTCTAAACAGTTCCTTTCCCTCCGTGGCTTTGAAGGATCCGTTGGTTTGAACAAATATTTTCAAATGAGCTAGTATTCTGATCTCGCATCGTTTCGTACACTCGTACATTATAAAACATTATGCTACCGTTTGCTGATGGTAGTAACACAGAAGTAATATACTGTTTTTTTTAAGTTGCTTTAAAATCGACTTTCTGAAGAGTATGCAAGAGAGGTATCTTTTTTATTGTAAGTTGGACCAGCGCGAACACTCCGTTTCGTTTTAAAAGTGAAAATAGCTTCATACTGAAACTCAAATTCGAATTGCAAAGTCTTAGGGTAAGCATTACGTCATACAGGCCCCGTACCGTCCGTGAATAAACATTTTCTATTCCTCGGCGTTTGTTAACAAATAGAAAGACCTGTGAAATTTATTGCACGTCGCAAATAGTCAATTTATTTTTACCTAGAATTCGAGATTCGGTACGATCCACGGATTGAAATACACAAAAAAGCTTCACCTGGAAAAAGTTCGCAAAACTAAACTTCGAAAATTCAAAAATACATTCTCTCTAGTTTTATTTCAGGGATTACGTTGGTTCTCAAACATTTCTGGAACATTCATCATGGAGCACATTGTGCCACACATATACCGTACACGCAAACCTATGGGTATTGCTATACAAAAAGTTATAATGCTAACTATAATACATACGAGTACTTCAGATTTTAACTACGTATCTATGTGAACAAATGTTTCAATGACAAGATTCTTCTGGGGATGAAGAGTTGCGGATCTTTGAGCGGGGATGAATTGCTTTTCTGCAATTCATCCCCGAATTGAACTCTCACGAGAAAGTAAACCACCCCACATTTCTCCCAAAATTAACTGGTGGTTACTAAAATACGACTCTCTCGCACTAGTTAGTTTCCACGTCTGTTTAGTCCGGATAAGCTTTTCGGTATTACGACGTTCTCTTCTCACCTATTGTCGCCTGAAAGACATATGGAATGTAACTTTAAAAATATTGTACAAGAGTGAAATAAATGTTTTTGTCAATGACGTATAAATGTAACATAGTGTTGCATTTCCTTAGCTTGTTATAAATAAAAGGGAGAATCTCGTTTCGAAAATATACATGATTAATTATTTTTCAACAGCAACTGTACAAACGGTATTAAGTATTTGATGAAACATTTTACATCGGCTTTATCATATTTTCAGATTGAGTAGTAAGGAGTGAATGTTATTACCATTGTTTCTCTTTACATTTTCTCTTTTGTCTTTAAAGGAAACATCGTTCATTTTCATCCACTTTTCTCGGAACTTGAAGTTGTGCTAACAAATTTAAAGAGAAATTTCCTAATTAACACAAAAGTATTTTTCGTGTTTTAACTAGGTCACATCTAGGTAAACTGAAAGTATGGAATTGATTAGCTCTATGGCTCTGAAGCTGGCATAGTATGTTAAACTTAGGTTATGATGTAGAGACAAAATTACTCTGTCGTGTTTCTGAAAGGTAATGGTAATTTAAAACCGTTAAATTTGCAACTCAGGTTTTTAAAATTTTGTTAATGTAATTCTGTATAAGGGTAAGTGCCATTTCAACGTAAATACACGCAGATATAGTGAATATATTGGAATAAATGAAGAGATTTTTAGGTATTAATATCGACAAGAATATACTTCACACCTGCGGTCCACATCGGAGTATGTATTGTTGTTCTTTACCAACTGGTAATTGCTGACGTGTTTGGCATTATTCATTGATAGCTGCGCATCGTAATTAATGCAACGTATTATGTCACACTTCTCGAGCTTTTCAAATGTCTTGTATGCATGGGATCTATCTATACATCATTTTCTAGTACCGATTGCTCAACCTAGTGATGAAAGTAGTGATCAATCTTTACTATATCATTTAGCGATTTATTTTGTCCTCTGGTGTGGGAGATCACGTGCGGGAGTTGGCTACCAAGCCAGTTTCAATGTCACAGTGGCTACTTAACTATGCCTTAACGTTCGAGTTATCGCTTACAGTCGCCGCGTTAAGCTTTCAAAGCCTACCCGTGCTTATGTAACGGCCGGTTTTCGTGGCAAGACCATCGGCCGACGGCCGTAGTCCCGTCAACATGCGCTAAACATAAAAAGGTATGGAGTGGGGCGAAGAGGCGGGGCGAAGAGGCGGGGCGAAGAGGCGGGGCGAAGAGGCGGGGCGAAGAGGCGGAGGCCAAGAGATGGATGCGGGCCAAGAGGCATCCGGGGTCATGGGGTACGCCGGGTCAATGAGTCTGGTGGGGCCTTGAGGCGGGGGGTATGAGGCAGGCGTTGGTCATGAAGCAGGCGGGGGCGATAAGGCGTGACGGGGCGATGAGGCGGGCCGGGGGCCATGAGGCAGACCTGATCTTTTAGGCGGTGGAGGCCTCGAGCGTGGCGGGGACCATGAGGCAAGCAGAGGTGATGAGGCAGGCGGAGGCGATGAGGCAGGCAGGAGCCATTAAACAGGGGACGATGAGGCAAGCCGGAGGTAATGAGACAGGGCGGAAGCAATGAGGCAGGCGGTGATGAGGCAGGCCGGTGGCGATGAGGCAGACTGGTGGCGATGAGGCAGGCCGGTGGCGATGAGGCAGGCCGGTGGTGATGAGGCAGGCGGGGGCAATGTGGCAGGCGGGGACGACGGGGCCGGGACCGGCCTGAGCACGCGCGGTCTGCGCGGCCTCCCAGGGGGCCGTGGCCAGCGCCGTCAGGCTCTACTGGGCCGCGCCCACGCTCCCCGGCCACGCTCCGCCGCCTTCATTGTTTTACGTTTCTCTCGGAGGGGCTAATCCCGTGCGGAGTCTGCTCGTTTGCGATTCCACTGTTTCTCTTGTTCCTCACTATGCTTAAGTCAAAAAAAGAACACATGTTTTTTAATTGCAGAAATGTTCAATTTCGAAACAATTTGTTCAGATAAAGACGCTGGGTATCGTGACTTCTTGAGATTTAATTGGGATTGAGTGTACGTCAGTCACAGACAATTACTATTCTATTTGGTTATGGTGTTTAGAAAATTAAAAGTCATTATTTGGTGGCCGTATAGACGAAGCATGTATAACGATATTCTTTGTCAACTTAGTCCTCAAATTATTATGAATATTTCTAATGATGAGCGAGGCAGCCAATAAATGTGCGTGTAAGAGAAATATTGGAATAAAACCAATGAGGAGAAATAAAGTAGAGAGAATAATTTTCTTTAATTTGTATACTGAAATTCTCTCTAAAACTTCTTAACTTCAAAACTTAGTAAACATTCTAATTCGGACAAGCGTCAAATATATCTAGTATCCACTCACTACTATTACAAATATCACGTGACGGTAGATCTCTTCACCTGACTACATTATTTCCCGTGATTTAAAATGAAATATAAATAAAGATAAATTGTTTGTATAAAACAATATTGTGATGATAATAATGTCATAATAATTTTCACAAGGACATTTGCAATCATTTTAGCTAAAAATGTCAAAAGTACAGTGAAAATGCTCCTACGTGTATGCAAACCTCATTTAGTTATTAGACTTTTTGCAGTTACTCAGCTTATGTCGAATCGATCTTCATGCTCACAGGTCATTGGACTCGTAAGTGAAATATAATTAACATGTGAAACAGAAATATTGTGGGATCACGTTCGCTCTAAACATATTTTCACACGCTTGCCAATCCAGCAGCTGCGAGTCCGGCTGATGGCAAGCAACCGACTGGCGTGGACGTGAATCACGTCTGCGGTTTATTTATTCATCGTTTCATTACGCACAGATTTATTTACGTTGCTAAAATGAAATTAATTGTATTAGGATACGTAAATGTCGGGATTTTGAAATACATTTAAACACGTTCCGTTTTCAATTTCAGCCTAAAATTAATTTCTCGGATTAATAATGCAATTGGTAATTTTGTAACCGTATCTTCAAATAAATCGAGAATTTTGGTGTTTAATTGTTTATCTTGTAGAGGTGTGCAACTTGAGGATGAAGTTCTGACAACGTCAATTAAGGTTAATATTTAATAGGTTTTTTTCGTGTTCACTTGCTGTCTCAAAAAATTGGTATGTTACTACTTTATTCGTATTTCTTCTTCTTCTTCTTCTTCTTCTTCTTCCTTTCTTCCTTCCTTTCTTCCTTCCTTTTTTCCCTCTTTACCACTCACTTTCGATCTCTCACTCACGAGGAATTAAACTTCAAACGGAGTATCTTGTTGGTAAAAAACATGGATAGTTCACGTTTTAGAGGGAAAAATACTTTATACAACAGTAATTTACATTATAAGGCAATGAAATCGACCTTTTTTACATGATGAGACTGAAGAGTTCACTCGCCGAGGCGATATTTTATTGGAGACCTTTTTTTATGCATTTTGTATTTATTTCTGCTTGGCTCGAACGACCTATAGACATTACTTAGGAAATATAGGTGTTGTGGTGCGTTATCGTTGGCGTTTTTCATTAAATAATTATAAACGTTGTCATTGCCAACAATAACTGGCTTCCATTCAGCAGACAACTGATGATGTTGGCTAATCCATCGAAAGCTGCTCTTGTATTAAATACTATTGTTGGCACTGACAACGTTTATAATTATTTCATTACTTAGGAAACATGATTGATAGATGAACGCATTGAGAACATGAACACATTAGGTAGATCAATAAATAAGTTTTTATGGATTAAATGCGCGAAGCCACATCGGGTACATGATGGTCAGGGAGGGTCGAAGAAATGTCGCGATAGTTTCCGCTTCAGTCTATTGTGGTAAGGATTTTGTTTTTCCAGTTGTGAAATGTACGGATGAGGGAATGTGGGGGATTTTGTGATAGCAGTGAGAGGAGAGGAAGGAGAAAGCAGTGAGAGGAGATCGGAGTAATGCTGAGTTTGTAATGAAACTGACAGTTAGGTACAAACTTGGGTGCTTTTGAAATTGTTCGGAGGAATTTATTTTTGAAATTTAATTTTTTTTATTTGATTTGATGGCTGAATCCCTTAAAGAAGTGTAGGATAAGATTGGAGATATTATTAATTAGTATATTAGGTGAGTAGGAACATGAAGCCGCAGGGGTGATGATTTTCTGAGTATGGGATGTAATTGATGGGTTCCACGGGTAGCCCGAGTAATTCTGTGAACGATATTTGAGCCTTCTGTCCAATTGAGTTTTCTGTCAAATAGTACACAGAGATATTTGACTGGCTTGTTGTTTGGGAGCCAAGATATATTTTGTTCTTGATACTTGAGAGGGAGAGGATTCACCGGACTGCGTAGTGGGAAGATTTTTCACTCGGTTTTTTGTTGGATTTATTTGGCTGTCCAATTTTTTTGTCCTAGTCGGAGAACTGAGAAGTGATGTTCCAATTATTCTTGTGTAGTGTCATGGTTTGAGGAATACATAGTAGTATCTTCAGCTAACGGTGCAATGGAGTTATGTAAGGAGGATAGTATATCGCCAGTATAAAAGTTAAATAGTGCGGGAGAGAGAATACATCATTGGTGTATTATTGCTTTTACGGGAAAAGACAATAAAAGAGCTCCAGGAAGGTGGACTCTACAAGTGCGATCTGCAAGGAAACGTTTGATAATGTGAGTAAGATAGAGGGGGTTCCGGACGGTTGGATGCCAGAAGGTGTAAAAAGCTTTAGCGACATCGAGGAAGATTCGTAGTGAATGTTACTTTTCATGAAAACCTTCGGTTAGTCTTAATATTTAGTGATTTCTGTAAAGAAGTGGGGCAGGGAGATTTTATATAATTGTCGTATTCAAGGAGTGTACAAAAGGATGATAGTTTGAAGGGAGAATGATGTATGGTTCCACGATTATGTTAAAGCTAATGCTGCTAGAGACATCTACCACAGAAAATTTGAAACCTCTCTAACTAACAATAAGAAATTCTTTGAGTTTGTTTGTTTTACTAAAACCTTGAAGACATTTAATCTGTCTACTGTATATTTCTTTTAATACATGTCTGGGACATCCTTTAAAGGCAGTATGAAAAAAACTTTATAAGATTTTTTTAACCACCTAGTTATTGTGCCAAGGTACAGATTTGTATAAATGCTTATATTTTGACCTGCCTTAATTAAAGTTTATTATATGCAATTGTAGAAACAATCATTTGTCTCATTTCATTTCTGTCTCCTAATTATTGATTGTGAACTGCAACTTTGGTAAGCAGAATTGGTCTACCGGATGACCTTTTTCTCCTTCACGTTCCAAATAAAAAAAACATCGCTGTATTTACATTGCAAATACAATACCTCGCACAAGTACAATTTATATTTGGAATGGAAAAATACTGAGAGAACATTATGTTATAAGTCAATTTCATCACATCGAATGAACATAGAGAAGGAAGTGTGTGTACACGACATACGTGTATTGTTGTGTCAGGACGAATATTAAGTACAGAATGTGGTTCTTATTTAAATATTTTTGTAATATTTCTGTGAAAAATAACGCAATATTTAAAATGTTTGTGCTTTAAAATTTTATACGTTAATGATATTTCTGAATCTAATAATTCGACGATTAGTCTCTTCGCAGATGACTGCATATTATACCGACGAATACGAAAGGCTCGAGATCAGAAGATTTTGCAAGAGAATCTCGTTAAAATTATGAAATGTGCGAAATAAAATGAAACAAAAATTAATCCTTAGAAATACAAAGCTGGAACCTTCAGTAGGAAGCGGGAAAAAACATCACTATAATCCACAGTTGCAGTTCAACTTGTGCCTGAGGTCAGTAGCTTCAGATATTTTGGGTCTGTTATTCGAAGCGATCTGAACTGGTCCGACCACAACAATTACATTGCGTGGTTTGAAAATTTGAAAATCAAAGTTTGAAAATCACTCCATTTTGTAAAGCGGATATTGAAGAAAAAAGACGCGAACACAAAGCGCTTAGTGTTTACTTCTCTTGAACTTCGGGTAATGAAATGCACCTCCGCATGTTGGGACCCGTATAGGATTTGTACAGGGTAGATACGCTTGTTTAGACCTTGTTTGATATCCAAAAATACGCTTGTTTGATATGTTTGATATTCAAAAGAGATCTCTAAAACTTGTAGTAAAAACCTATGAAAAAAAAGGGAATTCCTAGACAAACGTCGAAATGTAACTAGGCCAGTAAATCTTTACAAAGCGCACACTGCATGTAAGGCATTAAACGACTAGGATATGCCACCCTCAATATTTCGAAAGAGGGGATCTTCCCTGCAAAATTAAGTACAGGCATAAAAAAGACTTGCTAAATTATCTTTTTTCAATTGGTAAATGACTGGAACAATCTACCTGGTACTAGCGACTTCTACCTCTAGTGTGCGTTGCTTCTGGAATTGTCTTGGGAATTGCGTATGATGGCAATATTTGTGTGTGTTGTGTGTCTTACCAGTTACTTCCCTACAGTAATTCTCTATAATGTGTTTCATAACTTTTCATTGTTTGTGTCTTTATATGTTGTATCTGTTTCTCTTTATGTCTTTTTATGTCTGAGCATTGCCACCGAGCGAAAGCTCATTAGCAGGAAATAAATATTTTTATTAATACCTCTGCCCGTTTTACGCGTTACGCTTCAAATGAGTACCGTAAAATTATTTTTTTTATTAATATAGATACATTGAACAAAGATATGAAGGGGAAAACTATTAGTATTATTTTTTAATCCGACGAAAACTAGACTGGTAGAGTTGACGGATTTTTTAAAAATCTTTCATCATATACTGGTGCGTCAAAATAAATATTACAAACCTCCAAGGCATGTCAGAGAATTTAACATAATAACGTTTTTCAATAAACGGTGAGCAACTTCTTTCACTGAAGTTACAAAGACATTTGTCCCTGATTGTGGCAGACAATTCGTCGTACGTAGGTGTCTGGCAGGTCACATTCAAAGCAGTGAAAGATTTCGCGCTCCTGATCTACAATCAATTTTTAGGGGTTTCCTATCAATCAGGTGCAAATGTCACTTGTGTAACGTGGTTACGTGCAATTTTTCACAAGTTCATTTGCAACAAAATTGTAATCTTCATCTGCATGCCCTAGAAGTTTGAGTTATTTGTTCTAAGACATACTGAAATACCGAACTTGTTTTTGTAAATTTCAAAGGTAGTTTGACTTTAAGTAATCGGACCGTCTTAGGTGACTCAACTGATGCCACTACAGTGCCTGTGATCTGTAGATCCAAGGATTTGGGGGCCGACGGTGGCAAGTTTTTCGGCTCTAACTAGATAGGTACGCCGAATACAGCCGTGTTGGAAGGAGACATCTTATACACACTTACACTTACATGCATTACACAACCACACATGCCGGGAAACCGGTAAAGAGCTTGGGGCTTGTCTTTGCTCGGACAATGCCCTGCTGGTGGCAGTTATCTCGTTGGGGAAAATCACGCAAACTGACGGTTAGGTCGCCATCAGATCTCGATATCCAGTCGAAGAAGTTTACCGCCAATACTCATGACACACATGCACTACACTAACGGAACCAATAGCCTTAGCTGTTGACGAACCCAGAATCACTATTCAATCACAGTAGTCGTTAACTGAGCAGAGAAACTTTCACAACTTTCTGCATCTGTGCAGTTGTGCAAATCGCGCCGCCAGGACACGAACCCGACTCCGCTTCCAGGAGCACCGCATCCACCTGTGCGATTCCTGCCCCGCGGCGATGCGCTCCCCCACCCCCCAACTGCCACCCGTCCACCAATCCCATCTGCCAATTCATAGCGCCTTTGTGTTCTTTATGAGGCCCCCCCCCTTTATGAGGCCCCCCCTCGCTCGGCGCAGCGTACAATTGCGCACGTCCGAACAATATCGCTTCTCTGGGCGCGGTCTTCATTCAAGCGACTGGAGAACACGTGAACAGCCGACGGTTTTGTCTCGCCACAAACCGCGCCATCGAAAAGCGTTGTGCGCGCGGTCGCGTCGCTTTGTTCGGGGCCGCCAACGCGCGCGCACTTTTCCTGTTTTATGCCATCCGGACGCAGCGACGCTGCTTCGCCCGCCCGC